GAGGGAGTATTAGTAGAGTACGAGGGAATGGAAAGAAGCCTGCCCACACTCCCGCTGCTAAGGGTGAGCTGCAGCTGGCCTCTGGAAATATTTTGGATATTTTTGAAGTGGATAATTTCTTGTACTCAATCTTCTGTCATCCCACTGGTTCCGTACAGCCCTGAATCTCCTGAGCATCCTGTTTTCCTTCCCAGGAGGCTCCCTCTGCCGCCTCTCTGTATGTCAGCCAGTTCTTCAGCCCTGTCTCTGCAGGTTCCTGCAATCCCCTCAGCTCACCCTCAGTCAGCCCCATCCTGGAGCCTTGTCTCATCTCTGCTTTTCCGTTCTCCAGCTCCGCCTGCAGCCTCCGGGTTCTGGTCTCCACCTTGGCCCTTTGACCCATCGGCTCCACCTTGGATCTTCTATGGCCCGTCATCCCACTTGCTTCACCGGGCTCCCTCGTCCATCCGGCTTCACATTGGTCATTCATTAACCCTCCATCGCTACGGGATCCCACTCTTCTGGCTTGTTGCATCCTCCATCTTCACCACCAGGTTTTCATTTGTCATCCGCCACTAGTCACTGCTCCTCCCATCATCTGGCCATTCTCCTGAGTTCTCCAGCCTGTCACCAACCCTTCGCCCATTCCTCTTCCTCCTCCAAAGCCCCCTCATAACGTTACCATTATGTTCGCTTAGTTTCATTATCGTGACCCATTGTTGGGCAAGTTACTCTGAAAATGTAATCAAATTACTGATTACTCCTTTCAGAAGTAATCACGTTACTGTTCTGATTACTTTATTTCAAAAGTAGTTAGTAATTAGTTACATTACTAGTTACGTTACTTTTTTCTCCATGAAATTGATGAAATCCCAGCATACACGCTCCCGATAAATATTTCTTATTAAAGCATCAACATTCACAGAACACTATTATTTTTTCAAGTGTTGTTACTCTTTGTGACAGATGATCTATTAAAATTGTCAGAGAGTTGCATGTGCCCTGACATGGCTCTTGTTCTGTTTCAGGAGGTGGAGGTGGTGGTAAAGAATAATCATCCAGATTCTCGTCAATGCCCTCTTCATTCTCTTCCTCAGAGTCGATGTATAACTCACTGAAAGTATTAATCAGCTCCTTGAGTGGTTCTCGGTGGCTGGTAAATGGTTCAGAAGAGAAATCTAAATCAGGTCCGGTCTCATCCCCCTCCTGAGCATATATAATTGTAGATCATATAGCTTCTTCTATATGTGAACGTTTGTGTGTTAGAATAGTTTATATGTCTTAAATTTATCTAATAAAGCCGTATTTATATTGAAAAGAGAAGTATCTTGTGTTTTGTGCTTACAAGTTAATGTCTTAAACTGCCGATCTTGTTACTGTGCTAATAGTGTTTTCACTATACTTTGGATATTAATATCCATTGCAGAGTTGATGTTATACGGCTCGTTCAATGAATCGCTGGCCGACTCCGTAATCAGCCGTAAAACAGTGATTCTGTCCAAATTCCCTTTAAAATCTTAAATGATTCCCTTTGAGCTAAATTGACGTGTTTCCCTTACAACAGCTAAACCTCTGTTAATTTTCAATAAGAACTTCTCTAGACGTCTGACAGAAAGTCAGTCTGGTTAGTAATGTGTGAAGCTGGTAATGCTGTTTGTTGAGTTGTTTAATCGTCCTCTGCTAAGATCTTTAAAAATATATATATTTTATTTGCAGTTTATTTAAGCCTGTGTGGCTTTAAGTCAGTTGCAATTGTTGTTACATTTTATGAGAATGCAGCCATTATGTTGAACCAACATCACATTGTTACATTGATATAATGCCATTATTATTGATTTTTTTGATGAAATTTCCAAATTTTCTAGATGTTAATTGTGGGTGCAAAAATGATGTTGATTCAATGCCACTGATTTAACATTGTTTCAATGGATGCTTGCTATCAGGGAATGGAGTATTTCTGTTTGTTTAGAAGTGATTGGGCTTCACCTGAATGCATTTTTTCAGCAAACTTTTACAATGAGTTTTACATGAGACTGTCACATATTTGTTTCAGTTATAGTGTGCCACAGTTAAGTTAAACCTGACTTTCAAGATATTTGATCTCTTGCTTTCAACATTGTGGGAAAAGAAAATACCCTCACTGTTGATACAAAGCAGGTTATGAAGGTTATGCACTGTTATGTCCCAGTGAGTGCTGGGCCGTTTTTCTTTTGTTTTTTTTTGTTTTTTGCCAGTATGGTGGTTACAGGGGTTATGTGTTTTTCTACCCGAGGCTCATTTTGAGGGCTGTGAGAACTGAAGCACTGATTAATACAGGGAGGATGTGACTGCGCTGGCCCGGGCTGCTATTTTACTGTTTTGTTTGTTATGTTTATTATTTTTGTTTTAGGGCTGGCCAAGTTAACATGTTATTATCGCGTTAACGCAATAATTAATTAACGCTGACAATTATTTTATCGTGCATTAATGCAGTTATTATTATTATTATTTTGAAAGCCTGTTGCTTACTGGCTCTGAATTCACATACAGACAAACCATGGGTCACAGGAAGGGTGGGATGTTGATCAGTACTGGCTTGGGACAAGCGTCATCACACGTCTCAACCAATGAGAGCATTAGGGGTGGGCCTAAGACTGCTGCAGCGCTCACATGAATGCTCCCGATAAAATTATTTCGGCTAAGCATCAACATTCACAAACCACTATTTCTTTAATTAATCGGCACATAATGTGCATGTTAATTAATTAATCTTATTAATTTGAGATTATTTTGATTAATGAATTGGCACATTATGTAATTAATTAGATTTTTTTAAAATCACTTGACAGCCCTATTTAAAACATAAGAAACAATCTTCTGACCCCCCCGATGGTCACTGTGTAATTCGCACCCTGGTCTCCACTGCTAAAAGGACATACTATCACAACAAAATTAACAATTCGCCTAACTCTCGCATGCTCTTTAAAACATTTTCCTCCATTTTTGCTGTATAGGCCTATAGATATTTGCCACACCACAAACTGTCAAACACATCTTACCAGCAAACATACACTTGTTTTCATCCTTCTCTCCACTCTCTGAGGCAGAAGTCTCCAAACTAATCCTTTCCAATCATCCTACTACTTGTCCGCTTGATCCTATTCCATCTCATCTCCTTCAAGCCATTTCTCCTGTAGTTGAACCTGCACTCACATCAGTAACACATCCCTTCACACTGGTGTTTTTTCCTCAGCATTTAGACAGACTCGTATAACCCCACTTCTTAAGAAACCCACTCTTAACCCAACTCTTTTAGAGAACTACAGACTGGTTTCCCTTCTACCTTTCATGCAAAAACACTTGAACGAGTTGTGTTCAACCAAGTCTCAGCCTTTC